TAAGCAATTTGTTGCAAATCAACCTTTCGACTACCTTGCTAACAACGCATGTTAGGCTATAATTAGAAGGGTCATAGGTGCTTCCTTTTTTATAAATGGGAATTATATGAGACAGTTTCCAAATTTTGGGATTAAGACCAGATGTCCTTATAAATATCAGAGGTGATCACATTATCATTATGTTGCACAATTGATTATTTATTTTTCTTTTGATGTAAGTCCAGAAAGAATTTCTATTCATATTAAAAATAGCGGAAAACTCAGAGAAACTGTAAATTATGTAAACTGTAAACTGTAAATCATTTTTGCAAATTATTTGTGGAATATTATCGGGACCAGCTGATAAGGCATCATAAACATCCCGTAGCGTTATTTCAACCTCACAGAAAGAAGTACAACGAATTCGGTTTACTTTAAAACAATAAGTATTAATACTATCGTCAACAAATACACTAGAAAAATATTGATTAAATATATATATATATATATACAATATCAATATCAGAGGTGATCACATTATCATTATGTTGTAGAACTAATTGTTTATTTGCAAATTTTATTTTGATGTAAGTCCAGAAAGAATTTCTGTTAATATTTAAAATTTGCTCTTCTTTATTTGAAAGTAATTATGAATGGCACTATGGAAACTTTTTAAGCATTCTTTATATGCAGAGAGATCACATGGAAATTTGGTTAATTTGTATTTATTATAAAGCTTCCTGATACTTTTTTTAAGAGATTTTAAAAAAGTGGGAATCGACCTAACGCTTTTTTTCCTTAGAGGGATATATTGCTCTATAAGGTATAAAATGATGCTATTAAGAAAATTAACTTCTTTATAAGGAGTTAAATAAAACAAGGAATCCCAGTTTATTTCTGCCAGGATAGAATTAAAGATTTCATACCCATAATAACGGTACTTTCTAGAATATCTCGAGGGAGGTACATAACGGTTAAATTTTAATCAAGCGTGAATGATATTGTGATCAGTATTACAAAAAAGTTCCAAGACTTTAATGCTATCAACAAGAGAATTAGGAATAGCTAACTTAACATTTAAAATAATGTTATACCTAGTGGCAATCTTAACATTTTTTATTTGCTTTTGGCTTATTTTGGTCTTATAATTTTACAGTTCTTTATAGTTTACGATTTTACAATTTTTTACAATTTTTTTCTCAGAAATTTCCCTTAAAACTTTTATTTACCTTTTTTAATGGTTTTAACTTTTATTTTCAGTTGTTTCTCGGTTAAAACCGAATAATTCTGCGTCTGATTCTACGTAAGTTTTCTTCAATTTTTTGGCTTACAGATTGTCTATTTTTTATCCATTTTTTTATAATTATTATATAATAATTATAATTAATTATTATATAGTTATGTATTTATATTAGGAATTAAATTTCAATGATCTAGGTTGTTTCTTTCAGTGCCCTTCCACATTCCACTCCAACGTTAGGTGCAGCAGCACCATATATGAATGTGATACAACGATTTCCATGTGTAAATACATCTACGCAGTTTTGTCCATTTGTGCGACCTTTTTTCCCAATTCCGCCTCCTTTTGTCAACATTCCTCCGCCAGTGCCTCCAAAGCCAGGTCGGTTTAAAATTTTGCTTCAATTAGATATTATTGTAAAGTACAAATGATCAGTCTTATCTTAAAATTTTGAAATTTTCAGATGGCGTTGTTCCAGGTCCTTCAAGTGCGACGTTACATAATGATCCTCCTCTTGTAAATAATGAAGTAAGTTTGGTGAAAACTTAAATATCGTGACCATTAACTCTTGATTTTTCCTAGTTTTTTAAAACTTTCCAAGATTAGGTTATGTTATTTTTGAATATGGATTTACATTTTATTTTAAATTTTTTTCTTGAATATGGAATTCCATGGCATTATACAATTTTCAGAAAGTAATAAGTGATGCGGGTACATCATCATCAAAAATTATCACAAGAAATACGCCGAGTTCCGATCTTAACGGAAATTCAGCAATTAATCAACAAGCAGTTCATGCATCTACCTCGACATCTCACTTAATATCATCCACTTCTCATTCCTCAGCTGAAAATCGGTTCACGAATAGACCTGTTTCACCCAGAATGTCTTGTGAGGCAAACAGGAGTCAACGAGGATTGCCTAGAAACCAGTTCCCTTTTCCAAGAGGAAATTTTTCTTACGGGACACGTATGCGACCTATATTCCCATTTCGTCGAATGGACTCGAATTTGGAGCTGGGACCATTTCGAGATCGTGGAACTATCTTTTTTGACACTGGCATGCATCCTTTTGGTATACAACGAAGTATGCCTCCTGGTCCTACCGATTTTCGCTCTTTTGATCGTGATCGTTCACCGCTTGGCTATCATCGAAATGGATATAATAACATCCGTATGTTCTAATCAGTTTTCATTAGTTTTTAAGATTAAAATTTGGGTTTTGGAATATTTATTTTCTTTCTAAATTTAAATTTCTTTTTTTCAGCGCCAGACAGAATGAGGTTCGCCAGAGATTTATTTGTTATGTCTGATGAAAATGATGAACAATTCAGGAATTCAAAAAAAAATCATTGATATTAAACTGCTCAATATTTTTTTTATTGTGCTGCACCTCATGGTTATCATTATTTGGTGTGGTTTTTAATGGATTTTATTTTTTTAAACCACACAGAACTTAATATTTAATCATTCTATGGTCTTAATTGAACAAATTTCATTTATGTAAATATTGCAGATTTTTGCAGAAAATAGCCACTTTTTTAAAACAAATATTGGGCATCTATTGTAACTGTAGATCAACCATGATATTTTTCGTAAATTTCATAGTTTTTTTTTTGTGTTTGTCTTTATTCTATTAAATTCTATTAAAGAATTGGGAAACCATAGGAGAGAGAAAGGCGACAGGTAGTTTCATGATTAGTTATCAGAAAATGTTGCAAGATTATAAATCATGAAATCATGAAAATATTGTGTATATTTCATGAATATTTAAAATGAAATTATAAAAATGTTTTATTTAAATATTTAAATATTAACTAAACAGTAATCTCAGATCTTCCTTTATTTTATTTTATGTGTATCACAAATGTTTTTTCATTTTGTTAAAAAAGATTTTGTAGCAACTGAAATAATTTTTTGTTTTGTTCTATTGACACCGTAGAAAATCATAATAATCAAACGTCGACATCAGTTTGTTGATTTAAGGGAAGAAACAAATTGATTATTCAGGTTATTTATGGGAAATTGTTTGGCTCCTAGAAGGAATGGCTGGTTGAGAGCATATTATATCTGGTTAAGAACGTGATGGGAAATGTCTGGTTAGACGATCTGAGTTTTATGAAGAGATTGTAATGGCTGTTATCACAGAAAAATTTGAATGTGTTTTTGTGCTGTTGTGATGAAGTATGGCTTCAAAATTTCTTGGTAAATTTTCCAAGTTTTGCGTGGATTTCTAGGTAAATTTAACGAGTTCTGAATTCGCTACATGTGATTGGAGTAGACCAGTTCTGCTGCAAAGTCGCGAGGAAAGTGGTAGGATGAGCAATAGCAAATATTGTGTGGAACCATTTATAAAAAAAACTCCAGCCTATTTTTAGTTGGACAGATTTCTGGCAGTATAAAGAGTGTTCTAAACAGGTTTAGGGCAGAGTGCAATTACACGTGCAGAATATCAACGTTGAGAAGGATGTTGAAACATGGTTGTCGGCAACTCAGTTATCACTGATCCCATTTAGTTCCGGCATCAATCTTTGCACATGGGAAATTGTACATTTTGGAAAAAGTGACGCAAATTCTGAATTTTTTCCCTTGTAATGCTCAAATATACCATAACATGGATTGTAGAAGCCATTTACCTGCGTTCGGTGAAACAAACAATTCCTAATTAATATAAAAACGAGTTATTTTCCAACAATATCGGAGGCTGGTTCATTCATCTTCAGTCGAACTACCAATTTCCAAGTACCATTACACTCGAATCATCCAGCCTAATCGAAACTCCCAGGTTGTTTTCCTGAAATTCATTCTCCCAGGCTTTGTCCATGAAAATATTGTGCTACTAAAAAATTCAATAACCCTGTGGAGTATATAATTCCGGTAAATGCAGATTTCGAACTCATTGACTCTATCTAAATCGAAGGGTTTTGTCGTTTTCTCATTTTATCAATTTATGTAGACGAAAAAGTAATTTTAGGGAGTAATTGGTGTTTTTAAAGTTTTTTTATAAATAATGTCGAATTTAAAAAGGAAGAATTTACTTTGGCGATGCGATAAATGCAAATGCTTCGTACTAAGCAAGGATTTCGATTTCCATAAGGTTTTATTTTTTTTCCGAGGAGAATTTACTTCTTTTTTGTTTTTAGATTATAATTTATTTCGCCGTCATTTAAAACTTAGGCGAACATACGCTTTGCAGTTCAATTTTCTGGGGGCCGAGCTGTTATCGCTGGGGCCGTCGCGTCGAGCAGGGCGCACCTCCGCGCGAAATAAATCGTTCGGAATTGTCGGTGCAGTTTCGCTTCTGTCATCGACTGAATCCCCGCGAAAACTTCATCAGAAATGATGCGCGTTGTTCGACTTTTTATTAATCTAATATTTAAATTTTCAGCAGGAATGCTATGTTGAAACTGAAGGCAAAAAGTACACTGTACCAGTAATCGTTCCGGGAAAACTTTTTCTTGGATATTTTCAGTCGGCAGAAAAAACTTTCGAAAAATATTTACCGCCTAGTTGCACTGAATGGGAAAAACGAAATAGTATTTTCTTTTCTTCAGAAATGATGCAGATTTTGGAAATTTCTCCCCGAAGTCCTTGTTTGTTCCGCGATGGGCCAATTTCAAAAATTGTTTTGACCTGGCCTTGTAACGAAGTAATTTTCTTTTTTTCTAATTTTCATGTTCATTTCAATAATTAAAACATTTTCGTTGCTGATTTTTCATATATTGGGTTTTTTTGTTTAAATTAAAAAATTGTTTTTAATCGATTTAAATTCAGCTACTGTTTTAGACAATAAAATTTATTTTTTAGTTAGCAGTGATGAAAATATTTGCATCTTTCAAATGTTCGAAGGAACTAATCGCAGTCATTCCGAAACGTTTAACACAGACGGTCACTTTATTATCACTGAAGCCAAAATCTTTTCACAAATTTTATAATTATGATCACTTCAGGTTTATCTTTATTCGAATGGTTGCTAAGGTTGTTCAGGTTTAAGGTTTAAATTTCGCGCAATTTTATTGCGATCTGAAACTGACCAAAGAAACCTTCCACCTTGAAAATTTGTGGTGATTTTCCCAACATAAAATTTGTTCTTAAAGGGGCGCGGTTTAATTAAACGAATGAAATAGTGAAGTAAAACAATGTTTTTCCACTGACAATATGATTTAAGATTTTTTTGCTTATTATTTATCCACTGGGATATAAAACTTGCAACTGATTTATCAACTACATTTTCAGAGAATTCGCTCGTGTTTTTTTGATCGGTAGCTATATTGTTCCCAATTCTGCAATAGACATACATTATTATGGATTTATTTGCTCCTTTGACGTTCTGTTGTCGATTGAAGAAGAATTTGAAGCAGCCAGTATAGATGAAGATACAATGATCTATGAAGTGGGGGTGCAGTGTTCTGTCAATATAATTTTAAACAAAGTACCAAGCAGGACTCTAAACTTATCAGATTTTGGTGGTAACGAGCACATCAAAAAGGAGCTCATAAAATATCTCATCACACCTATGAAACAGTTTGTTAAATATTTTGAAATATTCTCCAGTGAGATCTTTAATTTTGATTTTTTGATTTTAATAGTCTTTAATAGTCTCGGAATCTTAATTTATCAGAACTTCTTGTTTAGTCGTTTCTGATTTTTAAAAAAAAGTTTTTTATTTTTTATATCTTTCTTCGGCTAATAATTGCATCTATTGAATGTTATGGAAATTATATTTCACACTCTCATTATTTGCAGCGGCCAGCAGACGAGATCTATTCTAATAGCAGGCATGTTAGGCTGTGGTAAAAGTTTGCTTTTGAGGATTCTGTCAGCAGAACTTGGTGGCAAAGTAATTCTTATTGATAGTAATGCTGATCTAGATGAAACACTGTTATATACGAAGGAGCAAAAGTGCATTTTTCTTGTCGATGATTTCGATCGACTTTTACAGATGGCAGGATCGAGATGTATGCCTATCGTAGATAGACTCTGTAGGTTTGGATTAAAAATTTTCAGCAGATCCAATGAACAGCGAAATGAATGTTTGTTTCCTTGTAGATTAGATATTAATTTTGGTTTTTGGTTTTCATTTCACATCTGAAAAAGCTAAAAAGTTAATTGGATTTCGTGAAGCTTTACTGGGCTTTTAAGATTTATCACTAAAAGTAATATTTACTTTTGAATAAAAAATTTCCAAGAACAAAGCTTATAAAAAAATTAAATTAACGTTAAGTTAAAAGAATTTAAAACAGTTCTTTAAAGATTTATTTTAAGATTGATTGATTCCGGCGAAAGTTCTGTTGTGATTACATGCCGGCATGCCGATGCAATTGATTTGAAATTGAGGAGGCGTTTTCATCGTGAAGTTGAACTTGTTGTACCTCCTGCATTGGAGCGACTACAAATTCTAAAACTTATGTTAAAAAACGAAAATGATTCTGTTCTTGAAGATATTGCCATGTATGTTTCAACAGATTGGATTTTCAACTTTCAATTTTCTTTCACATAAAATGAAGTAATTTTATTTTCTATTAATTATTTTATTCTTTTAGAAAAACACATGGTTTCACGGGCGGTGATCTTAACATCTTATGCGGATTGGCCGCATCGGATCTTAGCGAAAATAAAATTGCCACTTATGAAGAAAAAATTGCTTGCTATAGTAGGCTAATTAAAGATATTAGGCCAACGGGTATAAAAGAATTTGTGTTGGAAGTTCCAAATGTCGTTTGGGACGATATTTGTGGTAATGATTTGTTGAAGAAAGAAATTGAACAGGTAATTTGTTTATTTGAAAGCAATGGAGGACGACAAGCGCATTATGCTTGCATTAAAAACACTAAATGAAAGGAAATTAGTGATATCAACATAAAGTACAAAAAATGAAGTGTGTCCAAATTACTTATGGTATTAAACCTGAAAACGAAGGTTCATGAAGTTATGCGTCACTGAACCATTGATAAGGCTGATTTAATTCTACGATTCGAAGGTTCCTGACCACATTTTAAAGCTCCAGTTGCGAGTGCAACATCCCTGTCACAGTTGCTTGGTTGTTAGTCCATTTTGGTTAAATTCTTTCGTGGAAAACCTCTCATTTGAGGTTATAAATCGGATATTCCTGTTACGTGACATAGACATGGCTAGATATCTTCTAGTCGAATGTTGAGTACTTGCTGTTTCTTTTCGGATTTTGAGTTTTTGCTATCTATTTGGTCCTTTCTTTTCACGTCGGCGCAGTTTCTTAATATTTATTATTATTGGTTCTGTGACAATTTTCTATGCCAGCTTAGCAGCTTTTCGATAGTAATCTCATCTTCTGTAAGCCTAGCTAAATATGGCCGCTGTTTTTTTTAAAATATTCTACAGTGGTTTCCATCAACTGTTCCGTCGAGAAAGAATAGTGGGTGAAAGTAGTGATTAGTCCATTATAGTCGATCTTTTCAAGTCATTTCATTCGTAAATTCTCCATTGACCTCAGTGAGTGGTTAGACGGTTTGAAATTAGTTCTTGCTGCTTTTCATAGTTCACAGTAATATTTTACGAAAAATGATTGACCACTGGCAAGAATAATGTTTATATAATAATTAATAATTTAGTAATTAATTGATTTATTTTGATTCCTTCGTAGCTAATATTTTCTAAAAAAGGTTTAATTTTCTCAATATGCATTTTATTTTTTAAAAGCTATAAGCTTTTTGATATAATTAAAAATTTTTCTTATATATTTTGCTTGTCATGGTTCTTTTTAGCTACGGTAGTTTTCTTAATCTCTCTGAGTAAATTTTGACCTGAGTAAATTTTGGCAGTTACGAATCAACTATGATTGTTTAATCAAATTAGGCGGTTATATGGCCGTCAACGTCACATCATGTCGCATTCGAGCGTCTCGGTATCGAACCTCCATCTGGTGTTCTGCTTTATGGTCCCCCAGGATGCAGCAAAACACTTATCGCACGCGCAATCGCATCACAGTCACACCACAACTTTTTGGCTGTTAAAGGTCCGGAACTTTTTAGTAAGTGGGTCGGAGAATCGGAGCGGGCTATTCGCGAACTTTTTCGCCGGGCCAGACAGGTATTCGTGATTTTTATTATTGCGATAGCGTGGCTATTTCAAATTACATATTTTATGAAATATTTATTTTAACAAATTTACAATACAAAAAAATATAAAAATTTTAATGTAAAAAAACAATATTACATCACAGGTAGCCCCAACAATCATTTTTTTTGATGAAATCGATGCCGTTGCTGTTAGTCGCACTGGTGAAAAAAGTAGTAATAATGTCGGTGATAGAGTTCTTGCCCAGCTTTTGACTGAACTTGGTATATTTTTTTGCAAAATATGTGAAAAAAGCTTTAGCCATTGTTTTACATCATTAAAATGTAAATGGATTTTAAAATCCAGTTTCATTGGAAAAAAATTTCATAGATGAGTTTCAGATGGCCTTGAAAAGAAGGGCTCTGTGTTTTTCCTTGCTGCGACTAATCGACCTGACGTTTTGGATGATGCCATTCTTCGGCCTGGTCGAGTGGATCGCGCTATTTATGTACCTTTGCCTGATCGAGATACAAGGCAAATTTTTTTTTTTCATGATCTGTCTTGACAAATTCAGTTTTAATGGTTCTTTATAAAACTCAGATATATTTGGTGGAAATACGGAACTTTGCTTTTATTTTCGCTTGTGTATTTTTTCAGATCCATGTGTAATTTCCATACTTTTAGTCCATTTCACTTGTTAATATGACAACTGCTTTCCTGGTAAATCGTTTCTACTCCATTGGATTTTTTTGAGTTCCAGTTATTATAGGCTTGCCATCTTAAGAAAACATTTGAAAAAAGCTCAATTTATGAATGATGATCTGTTGATGAATAAATTTGCGTTGACTACAGAAGGGTACTCAGGAGCAGACCTTGTACAGATTTGTTGTAATGCTGGACTTATCGCACTTCGAGAGAATATAAATGCTGATTTTATTGAGGAAAGGCATCTAAAGTGAGTCAAAAATAATGACTTTATAGCGAAGTTTTTGATCCTTATCATTTTTATTTCTTTGTTCATTGCAATTTTTTTCATTACTACTTATCTTCAAAACCAGCCATTGCTGACTTTGAAATTATTTGGTTGCATTTTGACCACATTAAAGTTGAGATCTTCATCACAGTTCTTTCCATCTGCAGTTTGAGTTTAATGGAGTACAGTTCCAACTTACAGTCTATAGGAATATAAAATTTAAAGTAGGTTTCAGTAAATCGATATCTCTGACTCCTCCGTCAACGAACAAAAAGTTACTTGCAATATATGATCGATTCCAACAACGTGGTTCAGGGACTTTCGAATAGTGGGCAGTTAATTTGTGATTTGAAGTGATGGTAATCGGTATACTTTTAGTTTTAACCATGAAATAGCTGCTTTTGCTGTTTATTTCTCGTGAATTTTTTTGGTCACTATAATTTTTGCCTTTTAAATCGTAAAAAAATTCTAGATATCAGGGTATTTGTTTGATTTTAAAAAAAGCTTGTGAAAAAGTGCATTCTGCAGCCAGTTACTGTGCATAATTTAATTCTTCTTAGATTATGTTTTCATATTAAATCAAACCAAACTTAAATTAGTACATATGCAAGGATATATAAAGATATGAAAGCCAGTTTGTAGATAAACATTTATTTTTAAAATCATTCCTAGTTATGCAATTCTAGTTTGACAAATTATTTTGATTGCTTTGTACTATGTTCATTATATCTATCGTTTATTTATTGGTTACTTTATTTACTTTATATTTGTTTTCACTTTGTTAGTGCAGCTTAAATTGGATAATTTTATATATTTTAACGATGGAATAAATGTTGTCTTAATTTAGGCGAAAGAAATTTATACAGTTTTGATTACTATTTTTTTTAAGTCCTTTATTCGTGCAAATATGGTTTTTCGAAATAAGACTGTTCGAAAACATGGCTGTTATATTTATAGATGAAGACTTACTTTAGAAAGATGGCAATAATATAGTTATTTAAATATGAAATGAAGTTACGACATTGATGACAATATGTGAAGTACGGAACTGAATAGCTCGGAAAAAAGCAGACTTATCAACAAGGGGTAGATAAATATATAAATTGGTGATTTTGTCACGTTGATTTTCAAATTTTTGATGAATTCTTGATGTCGGATGTTACGTAATACTCCACTGCAATTTGACTGTCGGAAGAAAAAGTCTGCAAAAGAGTTAAACATTTCCACACTGGTCGGCTCTTCGATCGCGTATCTGTTGTATATAATATCTGTTGCTGATTTCAGCCTTGAATAACTGTTCCGATCATCTGGATGATTTTTTTTACTTCCCATATTTGTCGCTTATTGTCTATTTCCTTTCACAGACAAGTTTGTCTGGTACAAAAGGACGATCAACAATCAAAAGGACGTTAACATGATATAGGTGGGTTATATTGGATTTTCAGAGAGTCCTTTTCTAAGTAGTGAATGCGAAAGAAACAATGGAAGTGCGTATTCGAAGTAAGAATTACTTCGAATTCATGCTGATCGTCAGAGGTCAAATGCTGCTCAATTGCCTACCTTGATTTATATCGTCCTTCGGGTTTCGGGGTTAAGGAGTTTCGCCAAAATAATGGCTAATTTTATGGAAAACATGGCAGAAAATAGTAATTAGCACTTATGAAAATCTTTCTTCTGCATTTTAAGGCGCAATATCATTCTTCCTCTTTTAGGTGCCATATCGTTCTTATGCCATTTTAGGCGCCATTAAGGGACTGGAGCGGTCGGGTCCCAATATTAATATTGATATTTAAAACATTCATTCGTTAATGTGTCCTCTACCATTTTATTCTTTTCCTTTGTTTTGTCGTTTAATCTATTTGGTTTAATCGAAGCTTGTTTTTTTTTGACTATATATTAATTGGTTTAATTACCCAAGTTTGAGGCAAAGATTTTTATCAATTCTTGCCGTGATCAGTTTTTATTCTACTGTCCTGAGAAAACAGCCGGATCAAGGTTATCTAATATAATTAATGCGTTGCAGGGAGCATCATCACCTTCCAATCGATGCTTCCAATCAATAATTTTATTAATCTATTTTTTACAGTACGGATCGCCAGCACAACAAAGGATAATCTCCATCATTCAGAATATTAAAGCCAAAAACTTCCGGAAATGGTTCTCGTGTTGGTGTTGATGTTAAAGTATTTCCTAACTCCTTTTCAACTCTTCTTCTGTATGATGGGTCTGGATATTGTCACTGCTGTGGAATGTACGCTGTGGTATGGAAGAAAGAATATAAATCAGATAGTAAAGCAATCTTGCTCCCAATCCCCAAGAAGATGACACTGTTGAATAATTAGCTTGTTAGACGTCTCTGAAAAAATTTTCGCCTTCATTCTGCTGAAATATTTATAGCAGTAACAGACGGTAGATTTTATCCTAACTATCTAGACGGGAGAGCGGGTTTGCTGAACAAATATTCATGCTAAAAGGGCATTGTTTCAAATGTCAGCAACACATCTTTATTGACCCTGCAGCTGCTTTCAGTTCAGTTGATAAAGCAGCGCTGGACAACGTGATGAAATGCGACGGTGTTCGAGATCATCCGACTCGTAGAGGCTAGCATACATCTGTGTATAGGTCTGTATATATGAGAAATTGACAGAAATAAGAACTGGTGCCTTTCAGTGCAATGCACTCTCCCCTATATTTACAATATTCAACTATGTGATAGATCGAAATGGTCATTGCTTGCGGGCACTTAAGAAGTGTACAGATCAGTTCAGAGCATAACGTCTCAAATGCTGGTGATGCAGTCCTTTTTATGAAGACATGCAAATGATGCTAAACAATCGACAGTAGCAAAAATCTAGCTCAGGATCATAAATAAATAAGACAGAGGTTTTACATAGCAGATGTTGATAAAATATTTTAATCAGCTCATCAGAGGAAGTGTTAGACTTCAAAACATATTGAATTCATTCTAATATTGAAAGGTCAAAAAATCAAAAAATTTGCAGCTCAGATAACAGCAATTAGAAATGTTCTTTTGGTTGACAGTGCGCATGATCTTTGTAAACAGTTATGAAACATGACCAATCAGAGTGAAGGATATTAAAGATATTATCCATCTTTGACAACACTTGTCTAAGACATTCTGCCTGACCGCTGAGCAGATGAAATCTCATATTGTATCATGTCCACCTCTCAAACATCATCTACATTTAAGATATCCCTACAGAGTGTCGTCTACGTTGGTTAAGCTGTGTTATTTACCGCCTATCGCAGGATTTGATGCATATCTCACTACACCGTAAGCTTTCTGGTAAGATTAAAGGTTAAAAGCGAGGAGGGCTAGTTAAAACCTGGACTGCTGCAGCAGGAAACTCAGCGATATATTGACCCAGACGAAAAAAATTTAAGCTCAGACACGGCATCAGATCATGAAACTTGGAGGTAACGCTACTTATTCTTACAGCAAGCGAAGCCAGCCTAACCAGTAATAGTGCGAGCTTTTAGACGAAGAAAGTTTGCCATGGTTACTAGATGATAAAAGTAATTCAACGAGCTTTACAAGGCACTTTTTGAAACAATTGAATATCAGAAAATTCGAGAAATATTATTCATTTATGATGGATTTTGAAGGATTTTTGATTTATTATTTCCAAGTCTTAAATTTTTATCTGCAAGTTTTCTTCAAACATTTGAAATTTGGATTTGGCAGCGTAAAATTTAAGTTTCTCAACTTCTTTGAATTTATTTTGAGAAATACCAGCTTTTCAGATTTTTCGATGATTAAATTTTGATTCCATTGTGTGGTGGTTTTGCTTTTTCCAGTGTTTAGAAATTTAGTTTTCTGCGAATTTTCAAATAGCTTTTAGTAATTCAGTTAAATTCTTAATCAAAGATTTTGAAAAAAATTGCGATTTTTTTGGCTTATTCGTCGTTGTTTCTGGTTATCTTCTAATCAAACAGCCTGATTTTCTTACGGTGATCTCAAATCATTAATTTTCATTAATTTTATCTACAACAAAATTTTGAAAAATCAGAATTAATTGTTGAAATGGAAATGCTAAGATATTGAGATTTATGCAATTTTTTCCATGCGAAATAAATTTTTGTCTTTTGCAAAAAATTTCGGCTTTTTACAAAAAATAAATGCGGCCTCTGCCAAATGCTAAATCAAAATCCTCTTTCTTGTGCTAATGCTGCTATTATTTCGATTGTTTAACAGAAGAAGAATTTAAACTTTTTAAACCATTAATTAAATTATACCACTGCGACTTCATTTAAGTTAAAATTCATATATGACGGTAGTTAACGTGGCGGCATTGAAATCCTAATTATGTAATACGATGGCAATTATAATAGGAAAAAACGATAACAGATTAAGGTGTAAATGAAAATATGTTGGTGGCACATATCGGCGAGCAAATTTATCGGAAAAAATTGTCAAAAAATTGTTATCACGATAGTTTTCTATTTTTGTTTTGGAAGATGCATTTTTTCCACGAACGAATCGGCATGATTTATTTTTCTTTATTCCTATTCGCATTAATTCCAAAATGAACACTTTTCGACGTTCTGAAATTTTTAAAAGTTTTTAGATTTACAGGTTAGTTAAGAAAGTGATTATCTCACCAAATTAGTTCCAGTAGCTGTTATACTAAAACTTTTTATCAGCGAGTTACTTTCTAATAAAAGTAGAAATGTTCATTAGCACCATTTGGATTTTTTAATTACAGTTTTACTTCTGTGAAGATCAGGAGCTGAATCTTTTTCCTCAATGCGGTGTTCTAAATTACTATGCATTCAGCTAACATGCTGCCTACAAATGAATGAATAAAAACAGTTCCGAACATATGTTTATATTCTCACTAGTTGATTACCAAAATGGAGTAATATGGATATATGTTCCAAACTTATCTTCCCAGGCTCGTTTTCAGCAGTACTCATTTTTTCTTGGATTAATCATATGTTCATCCAACTGTTATTTGTGGTCCTTCGCGTCCGAAGGAAAACTTAAATCTTGGAAGGAAACGATTTTAAATACTAGCATATGTAATCTTGATTTTACCAAAATATTTTCCTTTAGTCTTTCTTTGAATTCATTAGCAAATGATCAGATTCTTCTTATGAAATTTTAACAAATCGTTTTTTCAAATTATTAAGTTTGCTAGAAATTCTTTCTTAATAACAAATAGTATCTCAATGGGATTTTTAAAGAAATTTTCGATTCAAATGACGAAATATCATCTTTGTTTTAAATATTCTTCTATTTTGGCAAACTTAAGTAGTTCCACTTGTTTTGCCAAATCTTGTTCGGTTGCACCTGTTCAATTTTTAAAGGTTAACAAGTTATCTGAATTTGACGAAAATGTGTGAGATATATCAAGTAAGGAAAAAGAACGACGGTGGTCGCTAACCAGGTCGAAAATGGCCTACTATCTTCCCTCGTTAATGAAATTTTTTTAAGTTAAATTAGGGAAGCTTTTTGCAAAAGCATCATTTCTGTTGTCCTTCAATATCTATCGAAAGGTTTTTTTATTTTTCGTATAATAGCAGTTAAATTTCTACAGTTCACTAAATTTATTTAAGTCGCATCTATTCGGGTTCAACCATTTCAATTTAACTTTAAAAAAAACCTTGCTTGTAGTCCATTGCAAATCACATTTTCTTTGGTGCGGATTGCTATTTCTGAGTTTATTTAACTGATGTGACTAAACTTGTTATAAATTATAAATTACAAATTCCTCACCTTACAATTAATTTTTTTTTTATTTATTATCATCGATCTTTTTTAGGTTTTTTAGCAAAACTGAAGTCGAAAGAAAAAGTTTTAAAATGGTCAACGCCAAAATCACTAGTGATCAATCTTCATTTGATACACTGCATGATAGACGAAAACCTATTGAAGCGACAGCGACATTGCAACACTCTGTCATATCAATCGACGAAACCAAATCTGTTTCAAAACAGCATTCACACGAATTTCCTTCTCTTAGATTATTGATAACAACTTTTGTGGTCCTTTTTGCAGGAAGCTTCAATTTTGGCTATCAAATAGCAATAGTTAATCCTCTCTCTCAGCTTTTACAGGATTTCATTCATAATTCGCTTAAAAGGTTATAAATTTATAAATTAATCAATCTTACTTGGCGCCATTTATATATTTAGATAGATTGTGGTAAATCTAACAAAACATTATAAATAATGCCAAATGGCTGTCAAGATAAACATAGGTCAACTTTAGTTCACATCTGTGTTTCAGTAATTATAACTTGGAGTTCACCAAAATTGAAGCGAAAGAATTGTGGTCCGCTATCGCTAGCTTAATTTTTTTTGGTGCCATTGTTGGTGCTGGGATAGCTCCTCGATTCATAAATTTTATTGGCTGCAAACGACTTTTTACCATAATTTCAGTGGTAATTCTGTAATTGTATATATTCTTCATTTATTTTTTAAATAACAACCAGAATAACCATGTTTGTTAACCACAGTTAATATAGTTAGCAACACAAAGCAAAATCATTACAGACTTTTTCTTTAAAGCTGGAAACTGGTTTGCGAACCAAGACATAGACACTGTAAAATTTAATTTTTAAAATTAAAAAAGGAAACTGTGAAAAACTATTCATTGTTGAGTTGCAAAAGTAAAGTAAAGAAATGCTCATTGAATTGGCCGTAAAGTAAATATGCTTAGGAAAACGAAAATGAAAAATGATTTTCAAAAAGTAATTTCTCGAAGGAGAATATTTCTTGAATTAAGGACTGTTCTAAATTAACGGTGAAAATAAATGATTAAATTAAGCAAAAATTATAGATTACGATTGTTAACTTGGCCGTTTCGAGTTTCTCAAATTATCTCAATTCTGCTGAGCTATTTATCATCTCCCGCTTCTTTATTGGTTTTTCTATCGGTGCGGGCACCACTATACACGGTGTTTTCATTGCAGAAATAAGTCCAAGTTAGCTTGAAATTTTTGAAAATATGTTTTTCTTTAAGTATCTGCTATAGCAACGTTAATAATTACTTATAAATCTTGAAGAAACATAGATGAATAGAAACATGAGATTTTCAAATATTTTTTGGCTTTACCTTATCATTAATGCGATTATAAATCTAAAACGACCAAAAAAAGGAAGGGAAAAAAGGAAGGAAGGGAAAGGAAGGGAAAAAAAATGCGGGTTTTATCTTTCTTGATTTTGTCGATAGGATCAAATTCGTAGTTTAAATGATTTCAAATAGTGGACAGGGATGGATGAGTGGTATGGCTTTATTAAGCTTCAGAGGTTCAATTACTTGATCATGGCATTATACATGTCAGAATAGCTCTGAAGACTCATCTGAACTTCTACCCTGATAAAAATTTCTAACCATGCCAACAGTCAGAAGAGCTGACTTAGAAATGTTAAGCGCTAACCATTTATTTTTTATGTCGCTTTTTATCTGCAGAAATCTTTAGACCAAAAATTATTCTTCCAATTATCTTAACTGATCGTTGTTTTAGCCAGAAAATAATGATGCTTATCAAAGAAAAATTTTATACAAGTTGACAATCATATCTGATTAGCTTTCCAAAAATTTGTAACAGACGATTGATTCAAAAATGTTAAAAAATTTTTTAAAAATCTTGATGCCAAGTTCTTTTACCGTCAAACAGATCTGTGTTCTCGCAATATGTTTCATGGTTCATATTGCAATTTGATTACATGAATCATCATAGGGTCATGTCGCGGTTTTTTGAGCTCGCTTGCTGGTGTTGTTACCAATATAGGTTTCGTGATTGCTTCTGTGCTTGGCTTACCTGAAATTTTTGGTACTTCAACTCTTTGGCATTATGCTTATGGCATTGAAATCATTCCATGCGTTCTTTCGTTGGTTTATTCATTATTTGTACTTCGAGAAAGTCCAAAATTTTATTTGGTGCGTAATGATATGGAATCAGCTCTGCAATCCATCAATTATTACTATGAATACAAAAATAATATTATTGCTATCACTGTGGCCGAAAAAATTAGGAATGGAATAAATTCACATGTTAGAGATGCGAACTGGTCATTTATAATTACTGACAGGTTTGCTAATCATTTTTTTCTTGATCGTATTCAAGCTATTTCACTAATTTGCGATAAAGACAATAGTATTAGCTTTTAAATTAATGAATATGCAATTAAATGCTGCGAAATTTTAGGCCTACTCGTCGAGGGCTTATGCTCTCTTTTATTCTTAACGTTACGGTTAGCTTTAGTGGTATTATTGCTATTTCATTTTTTGGTACATCTTTACTTAACGCAGTTGGTTTCTCGCAGGATAGGGCAGCTCTCACGAATTGTTTAATTTCTCTCTTTGGTACTGTTGCTTGCATTTTAAACACATTTACTGTTGATAAAGTTAGTTAGTCTTCATTGCGTTGAATTTTTTTTATAATTGTGATTTTTTTTTCTGAGAGCTGCACCACTTCTGATTAGCTCTGCTGACTTGTCGAGACAGACAATCTTTGCGAGAGAGTAGAAGTGGTGAATAGCTAGCATCGCTCGGATTTTTGAAAGGCAGGTTTACTCTTGCAGATGGTGGATTCCCACCATCGGTGCTCCGAAAGAAGAGCAGCAACCTCTGAATAATTCCACTCCTCATAATTCAAATCGAGCAATTTAAATCGTTTTTTGCATTTATATATGTATATATGTATTGATACTTTGTTTACTATCGCTTAAGATATTTAATAATTTAAGATTGGCCGTCGTTTGCTGGTAATTGGCAGTTTAATAAGCTTGGTTGTAATGAATCTTGGGATGATGATCATAGTTTTGGTTTTTTTGAAATTTGGTATTTACTGGCTTGGTTATGTCTTCATCGCATTTCTTATCGTTTTCGTTTTCGTTTTCAGGTAAAATTAATTTCACTAAAAATCTACTGTAGAATTTCTTTCCTTTCCTTAATTAATGGTTTAAAAAGTTTAAATTATTCTTCTGTTAAACAATCGAAATAATAGCAGCATTAGCACAAGAAAGAGGATTTTGATTTAGCATTTGGCAGAGGCCGCATTTATTTTTTGTAAAAAGCCGAAATTTTTTGCAAAAGACAAAAATTTATTTCGCATGGAAAAAATTGCATAAATCTCAATATCTTAGCATTTCCATTTCAACAATTAATTCTGATTTTTCAAAATTTTGTTGTAGATAAAATTAATGAAAATTAATGATTTGAGATCACCGTAAGAAAATCAGGCTGTTTGATTAGAAGATAACCAGAAACAACGACGAATAAGCCAAAAAAATCGCAATTTTTTTCAAAATCTTTGATTAAGAATTTAACTGAATTACTAAAAGCTATTTGAAAATTCGCAGAAAACTAAATTTCTAAACACTGGAAAAAGCAAAACCACCACACAATGGAATCAAAATTTAATCATCGAAAAATCTGAAAAGCTGGTATTTCTCAAAATAAATTCAAAGAAGTTGAGAAACTTAAATTTTACGCTGCCAAATCCAAATTTCAAATGTTTGAAGAAAACTTGCAGATAAAAATTTAAGACTTGGAAATAATAAATCAAAAATCCTTCAAAATCCATCATAAATGAATAATATTTCTCGAATTTTCTGATATTCAATTGTTTCAAAAAGTGCCTTGTAAAGCTCGTTGAATTACTTTTATTATCTAGTAACCATGGCAAACTTTCTTCGTCTAAAAGCTCG